GAGGCTCTGGTCGGCAGCCCAAATCGCAGACTTCGATTGCCTTTGTGCTTGTGCAGAGGTTCGACGGTGGGTTCTAAACCCTGAACCTAAACCAGGAAGGTTTCCGAGAAGGTGGAGACGAAGTCGGGAGTTCAGACTAGGGCTTAGGGTTTAGGGTTTAGGAAGCCCCGACAGAACCCTACAAGCCCTAAGCGCTGAACTCCAAAGCCTAAACCCGGAAGGCCTATGCCGGCACCCTGGACCCCTAAACCCTCAACCCCAAGCTTGCCCGAAACCTAACACCAAATAAGCCTGGTAGATCTTGGTTAGCCATCGTAGCCCATAGTAAGCCATAGTACTTCAGAACTCCAGGTCAGCTCTTTCTCGCCTTGTGGGGCTGGGATTGGGACGAGTCAGTCCGGCCCCAAAAGCCTCGAACCCGAAGTTTCACTACATACTTTAGCTACTACAGCTTTCGGATATGGTTTAGGGTTCATCACGGTCTAGGGTTTAGGTTTGGGATGTGGTTTGGGGCTCATTAGGGTTTAGGGTGTGGGATGTGGTTCAGGGTTCATGAGACCGGGTTCTTTTTGCTCGGGCTTCCCAAGCAGCCGGCTTTGCTATTCCGGCCAAAGATTCCTTGGCCTGTAGGTATATTATGCTGTAGTTATAGTAGAGAGCCCCAAAATAGTATTGGTAAACGCTTAGGCTCCTACCTTAGGGGGTTGTAGCCTCGCAAGACATCGTGCCCTCAGCTCAACATGCCTCCGCTCCTGCAGCTCTGATAAGGCTCCAGGTCAAGTGTTCCATGCAAGTGCACGCTAGGTCTCACATTGGCAAGACGTTAATGCTACGGCGAGGGCATGTGGTGAGACTTGTCGCACCGACTGAACGCATTGATGACGAACGACAACGCCGATATGGCGAGCCTGCCTTGCAGACATCTGCCAACTGCCGCATCGTCGCACGGAGCGTGTAAATCGAAGGTGCCAGCAAGATCTCCAGGTAGCACAGTCAAAGTCTTGGAAGATCAGCGTGTGTGCATGCTACCGGCAATAGCAACACAGCAATCAACATCCACATGGCAAGGACAACAGCTGCGAAGTCTCTGGCCATCTTATGACGAAAGCAAGCGTACTGACACCAGCATCCAAACTCCCTCAATGTTTGAAGGCCCTAAACTTGGCCCCTTGCGAGCACACAGCCGAACAAGTCAGGCCGAAGGCATAAACATCTAAACCCTACTCCCTGATAAGCACAGGCCCTTAAAGCCTGCAAGACTTGTGAGACGGCCCATGCCCATGCCCATATGACTGCGCATGGCCTGTGAGTGGGGCCACACCGGTGAGAAGGAGCCGCCTGGACTTGAAGTTGCAATGGGTTTTGGGGCTCGTTCTCAAGTTGGATTTCGGTCTCCTGGTACAGGGATCGACGGCGGAACTGTAGCTGATGTGTTCAGTGCGATGAGGCATTTCGGACTTTGTTGTTCGGGTAAGTTTTCGTGGGATTGCGTTCTCGACATAGTTCTGTGCTTTGAGCTCATGGAGCTTTGAGTTTCGATAATCGGGAGTTCAGGGTTTAGGCCAGGTCCCTCATCGTATTCATGAGTACTTCAACTATTCACATTGTGTTGGGGAAGACTCGAGGCTAGTAAACTCAGGACGGCTGCCTGGTGGCTTCAGAAGCAGCCATAGCACCGAGGGATTTCTCTGGGCTGCAGTTCCTTCTGTCGGCTCTGGCCTTGTGGTTTCCGGCAGGTCTCCAACGATGTGTCCTACTGTTGATGATATAAATCTCGCATTACCTAAAGGACCCTAAACGATGGGAATTATGGTATGTTCCTTATTATGGGTAATGCAGGATTTATATCATCAACCGTAGTATTAGTTCGGTCATCCTACAGCAATACTTGTGAGTCTCTCTCGAAGTGCAAAGGCATGTGGTGCCGAAGATGGGCCGGCATGTTATCCAGGCGGGCGTATTGCCTATCATCAGACTGGCTCGCCAGTGCAACCGACCCTGTGGAGGCCATTCGCACCAGGGCACTCGATTCCGATGCTGAGCAGGACCTGGCTTTCGGTGTTCCGGGGCGCGCGGGCGAAGGTCTCAAGCCCTACAGTCGCAGACCGTTTTGGTCACGGACCTTTCAAGCTTCCATCCTGACAAAATTGAAACTTTCCGGAGTCTGCGTCGGATCAACGCAACCAATGCATATTGCAAGTCTGAACGTGCTGGAGTGACGGGATGGATTTATAGAATTGGGCGGTGGTGGGGGCTATCGGGCAGCAACCTTGCTGGATTTTTTGTCGCCAGAGACTTCGGAAGCACACGTGGTTTAGGGCCGTTTAGGGTTTAGGTTGCGAGAGTCATGGAAGGTCATGGCCTCGGACAAATCGTTGTGTGGGCTGCATACGGCCAGGCACGAGGAGAGGTTTAGCCCGATCTCTACAAGGTGCCGCTTCACGTTTGTGGAATCGTTGTGGCTTCTGTTCTTCGAGCTGGGTGTTTGATTGCGGCGATGTGCTGATGCTGGGCACATACAAACGCACACAGCAGCCTGAAGGCATTATTCGTCCTGCATTCGGATTTAAGCATGTTGGCACCATAGCGGTGTCTACAAGCAAGCCTGGACGGTCTTGTAGCACCGCAAGCATCCCAGCATCGGTTTAGAAGCGACAGCATGCATAAACTTGCTCCAGCTTTGCATTGCCTAAGCAGGTGGTCCAGTAGCTACTCGCGGATCATGAAGCGCAACCGTGTCCCGTACATCGACTTCGAGACAGGCTGCCCGGTCGATGTGAAGTGCTGTTTCATCACCGTGCAGTGCTCTCATTCATGACGGATTTACGTTGTTCATCGGATGCGCCCATGGACAGCCCTCCTGTTTGCGCAGGCTTCCCAAAGGGGGAGACACCGAAGCAAACCGTCGGGACTGCCTTCACTCTGGTGCGAGACCCAGCGCGTGAACCGCCAAGCAGTGGCGAAATGCTGGTGAGAGTTTAGTGGAGCCTGTACTTTAATAATCATTCCTGGCCGTGGCCTGTGGCTGAATGGCTCCTGCAGCACTAGACTGCTTGTCATGCCTTATTAGCTAAACCCTAGACATCCCTAGACCCTAGTTAGTTAATCCCTTCCCCCTAATATTAAACGCCTCCCCCCCCTCCCTAATATTAAAACTGGATTTCGGCGGTTTGGTTTTAATATTAGGGGGGTTTCCGGCGTACAGGGGTATGATTAATTATATGACTGGGTTGAATCAGACAGTCAGACACAGCCAAGCCAGACAACCTTTCAGCGACTGTTGCAAAAGGAAAGAGGGAGGGAGGAAAAGAGGATTTAGGGTTTAGGGTTTAGGGACCCCTAAGCTCTAAAGCCTTAAACCCTAAACCTTAATTAATTAA